AACAACTTCAGTTTAAAAGAACTCAGACATTGGGAAAATGTTATTACTAAAATTTCCAGATAATTTTTTTTTCTAATTCAATTGAATAAATCATTTGAAACTTAATACACAATATAATATGGAATAATATGAAATAATAATATTGAATATAGCTTCTTTTTTTTTTTAAATGTGATAACCTATGAAAGAGATGTGTTGAAAAACAAACTTTTTATTGATAAAAGCGCTGCTCTTTTTCTTTCAAGCTTTTATATGATAGTATTTTCAAAGAACTGCAAAGTGCCTATTCAGATACAAGGATACTATTTCTTCGTTGCAATAGCTTGGCTGTCTATAGACTGGAATAGAGAATAGCTTGTCGGTCTATAGACTAGAATAGACAATAAAAAATAAATTTTTAAAAAAATTGACGTAATTAGATTTACAGGAAAGGAAAATAGAAAACAAACTTACACATCATGCAGTGTTACCGACACAAAAACTTACACATCTTGCAGTGTTTATAACACACAAACTTACACATCTTGCAGTGTTACTGACACAAAAACGTACACATCTTGCAGTGTTTATAACACACAAACTTACACATCTTTCAGTGTTACTGACACACGGTGAAACAGTTTATCTTTAACATGTTTTTAAAAAAAACAACGTTTATTGATTGTATACTTGAAGTCGCTTGGGATCTCGTCAACAAACTTTCCTTGACACATTTGCTCCCGCTGTAACCATGACGTCAGATGTTTTGTGTGCTACTAGCACAGGATACAGTGTGATAGGTTTGTTACTGTGTTTGTAAGTAACGTCCCGAGACATGCTTCGTTGCACAGAAACAAAGTACATCGCTACTCACGTCCTAATTCGTGTAACCAGCTTGGTCACTTCTGATTGAGCCGACTGGTTTCACGGCTGACTGAGCCAGTTGACGGGGGTCTGTTTCGTGACTATGGCTCCAGTTGGCGTACTTAGCACTAATCATTTAAGCGCCAGGCCGCAAATTTCGTAAAATAGTGTACGGGCACAGAAGATGCGCGTATGGTGAAACATTTAAGAAAAAGGTATCTGTGGAAATGTTTTTAAAAAATTATTACAAAAATATATTCAGACATTCTGAGATCTTGCTTACCTACATCTGAGATCTTGTTTACTTATATGTGAGATCTTGCCTTGCTTATATTATGAGATCTTGCTTACCTATATCTGAGATCTTGCTTACTTATACCTGAGATCTAGCTTAATTATATCTGAGATCTAGCGTATCTTTACCTGAGATTTTGCTTACTTATACCTGAGATCTAGCTTACTTATATCTGAGATCTAGCGTATCTTTACCTGAGATCTTGCTTACTTATACCCGAGTTATCTGAGATGTGCACCACAAGATCCGAGCGGATAGTTCATCCAATGGATAGTTCATCCAATGGATAGTTCATCCAATGGATAGTTCATCCAATGGATAGTTCATCCAATGGATACTTCATCCAATGGATAGTTCATCCAATGGATAGTTCATCCAATGGATAGTTCATCCAATGGATAGTTCATCCAATGGATAGTTCATCCAATGCTGTCAGTACCTACTTGTTTTGCTCACCCGTTACAGCGTTGATCGCAGAGTAAAACATTGAACAAAGCTGCACTATTGCAATTGTCGTCATCCATAATACCTTTGGGCAGCAATATTTAACCTAGGATTGGACAATCTCACATTTTTTTTATCGCCATCTTCGATGTATTGGGTTACTTCTTTCTCACAAGTCTTCATGAATTATTTGAATTAAATTGTTTATATTTTTAAAACTTTTCCTTGTTATATAATTTAGAAACAATAAAGAGGTTTGGGGTGGGGTGGGGTGGGGCTTGGGAGGAGAGGTAATTTTATTGTTTCGCTAATTCTCGCATTGAGCCTGTAAAGGTGCCCTACCCCCCTACATTCGAACATGGGCCTTCGCCGCTGAACCCATAGTTCTGTTCTTCAGACGCCTTTGGGATGATGTCCTCATTAACTTTTTACGGTAATTTCAAATAGAGTCCTTTGTATCCTATTGCCTTTGGGATGATGTCCTCATGTCCTTTGCAAGTTAATTTTTAATCGAGTCCTTTGTTTCCTATCTAATTAAACCCACTGGGTCAGACGGGGACCCAGACAAAATGACAGGGGACACCACTCATGCCGGATGATCTGTTGGTGTGCGCAAGCGTTCGTGAATTGGTTTGAAAAAGGGGGGGGGGGTTAAAAAAAAATTGAGTGCCCTTTTCATAAATTCCCACAATGAAGAGGTGTCGGGGGGGGGGCTTAGTCATGAGGCGGGGGTCGAATACAAACTAAAGAGATGGTTTAGTCACGAAATAGATCGTTTAGTCATGAGGCGGGAGTCGAATACAAACTAAAGAGATCGTTTAGTCATGAGGCGGGAGTCGAATACAAACGAAATAGATCGTTTAGTCATGAGGCGGGAGTCGAATACAAACTAAAGAGATCGTTTAGTCATGAGGCGGGAGTCGAATACAAACGAAATAGATCGTTTAGTCATGAGGCGGGAGTCGAATACAAACGAAATAGATCGTTTAGTCATGAGGCGGGAGTCGAATACAAACGAAATAGATCGTTTAGTCATGAGGCGGGAGTTGAAACCCAGCATGCGGACAACGTAGTCTTGTCATAGCTTTATTATTTCTTGTTACAATATTATGTTATGCCAGTCATTTTGTGATGACAGTCACCTAGTGATGTCAGTTATTTAGTGATGACAGTCACCTAGTGATGTCAGTCATTTAGGGATGTCAGTCAAGTAGTTATGCCAGTCAATTAGTGGCCAGCCAGAAAAAGTTTAGTCCTCAAATTAAAAATATATATATTTTACATTTGGCAAATATGCTGCCTCGAAACTCTCACTTCGTCTAGAGCAGCGGTTCTCAACCTGTGGGTCGCGACCCGTTTGGGGGGTCGAACGACCCTTTCACAGGGGTCACCTAAGACCATCGTAAAACACATATATACTCTTCAATTATGAAGTAGCAACGAACATAATTTTGTGGTTGGGGTCGCCACAACACGAGGAACTATATTAAGGGTGGCGGCATTAGGAAGGTTGAGAACCACTGGTCTAGAGCCACATCTCCCCAGTTGCCCACCTTGCCCCAACAATTTAATCCTTGCAATATAAAATAATATTTTTTTGTTTGTGTGTGTTGAGGGTCTCTTTATATAAAAGGAAATAAAACCATTTCGGAACGGAGCAAAGTCCTTTGTTTGAGAAGCCACAGCCTAATTGAAAGACCACGCCACCTATTTATCTAGTGCAAAAAGTACACACACAATGCATTCTGCGCATTAAATTGTTGTTACACAGCTGGGGGTTTATGGTCGTTAAAGTGTGCTTCGATGGTTCGCTATAAACCAGCGGTTCTCAACCTGTGGGTCGCGACACCTTTGGGGGTCGCGGGACCCTTTTCCAGGGGTCGCCTAAGACCATCTAAAAACACATATCATTACAGCATTGAAGTAGCAACGAAAATAATTGTGTGGCTGGGGGTCGCCACGGCACGAGAAACTGTATTAAAGGGTCGCGGCATTAGAAAGGTTGAGAACCACTGCTATAAACAAAGAGTAGAAGGTTAGAAGGTTTTTAAGGCGACTTTCTGTCGGTGAGGCTCCCACACACATTTTTAAAAGTCATTCTTCATATCTTAAAATTTTGTTTTCTTGAATTTTACCAGCAACAATTAACCGTAGATTTGATTTGTAAAAAAAAAAAAACGAGTTAAAATTTATAAAAATTTTAAAGTTTCCATATTCTGTCAATGGCCATCCGGGATTTAATTGAAAATATTGACGCGACAACGATTACAAGCTTTTTATTGAGTCGGAGAAGATTTCATTTGATGACTTTTACTTGGCACCTCCCTTTCAAGACGACATTAAACATATATTTATTTGTCAGAATTCTCCGGATTTGTTAAGGCAAAGTGACCAAGGGAACGAAAGGGAGATGAGCTTCATCCTAGAACTAGGTGATTCCAATAGTAGTGCCACCAATATGTTTAAAATAATGAACAACTTGATCAAAACCGATAGCGACGTTCAGAAGGTTACACAAATTTTTCATCTTGTACTAGTTTGGAAACGGATGGCAAAACCTGAAAAAAAGGACGCAAAAGAAATAGATAAAAAAAAAAAAATAACAATCAACTAACGTGTTTACAAGAAGCCTTCTTCAGCGACCAAACAATCGTCAAAATATAAATTAAAACTCAGCTGCAATCTAGTATCCGGGTGAACAGCAAGAGGACTGTGACAGAACATAAGTAGGTGAGAGATGGAATACAGGCAAAATCATTCATGATATTTTCAATAATTATTATTGTACACTCCTTGCATGTTATAATAGTTATTGGAACCACTTTCATCGCCCCTCATGCATGAAACCATGGTATTGGAACCACTTTCATCGCCCCTCATGCATGAAACCATGGTATTGGAACCACTTTCATCGCCCCTCATGCATGAAACCATGGTATTGGAACCACTTTCATCGCCCCTCATGCATGAAACCATGGTATTGGAACCAATAACTCATTGCCTCGCCCGGATGAAAGCCAAACAAGATCATGATCATGAGATCGGTGGGACTTTCGTTCGTTTGAGTTGATGAGTCACATCAGCTATTCCAAGGCCAAAATGCCTTTTATTTGTCTTTTTGTTTGTTTGTCATTCGCATTTGTCAATGTATAAATATTGGTGTTACGACTTGGTTTCACCATCGTGTGAATAAACGTATGGAACAGTGCCGCATCCTTTGGACTCACATCACGTTCGAACTTCTTGTTTTAATCTTATCAGCGTACATGAGGGATGTTCAATAAGGAATGTTAGCTTTTCATTTCAAAATTACTGAACATAAACAAGTATATTAAATAATGAATCTAGTATATAGTACTCTCAAAACAAATCGACCATTAAGAGTATGCTTCCCTAGAAACGGGCGCCATTTTGGATAGCGCTACTTGAAAATCATCAGATTATTTTATGTTTCTGTTTATAAATTGGTGAGTAGGCCTATTATGTAATTTTATCTCAAACTCAGGATTGAAACTTCTGAGAGTTAGGACTAGTTTAATTTTTGATTCTCCATAATATAATAAAATAAGTGGCCACTGTCGTCTTATATAATTCTCTAAACGTAAAAGGCAGTGATTTACATAAAATCATTTTAATAACAGCCCATTTCCATTTAGTTTGTTTGAGAAAAGAGGTTAATTGAATTAAGTTTTCTCTGGGTCAACCAAACGTCAACAAAACATTTAATAACCCCCAGTCAGGTCTGAGTTTTGAGAATGAAAGTGACAGTATACGGCATCTACAAATTAATGTATTAAAGCAGCGATTCTCAACGTGGGTCATATGGCCCCAGAGGACCACACCTTATTTCTTGGGGCCACGACAACTTTAAAAAAAAATGATTTTAAGTAAAAATAAGAACAGTCTCTTTGTATTAATAAAAAGGATCTGGGGGAAGGGGGACGCAGAATAAAGTAAAACGTCAAAGTGACCCACCAGAAAAAAAATTATATGATTGAATTTAAACATTTCTTTTGGGAAATAAAATAACGTTATACCATTAGCTTCTGTCCTAGTAATTCCATCTTTATGTGTAATTCTAATATATTTAAGCTTTTCTTCTGCTACCTGATAATCTTAGGAAACTGATTTGTTTTCTCCGAGAAGACCATGAATGAGGATGCACTTATTAAAAGACGAGTGAGTTTCGAGGCTGAGAAGTTTAAGAATTTCCTAAGAAAGGATTCACTGGGTGACGATGAAGCAAATATTAGTGTACACTGGCAGGGACAAAAGATTGGCGTGTTTACAAGTGGGGGAGACGCCCAAGGTGGGTTAATATCGAAGAGGAACACCTACACACATTCATACAGAGCTGTGGGGGACGAATCTGAGGGATGTGGGAACACTTTTGCTCGATCACGATTGTTTTAATGGGATCTTATTTGTTTAATTTTTAAAAAAAACATGATCACTGAGCGGTAACATAAACTCTCTGGTATGATGAGAATTAATTTCATTAAACTGTCGCAAAGTCTTTTATTAAACAAAAAAAAAATTTGGTAATAAAATATGTGAGTAGAGACGGGATCTGCAAAATGTAATCTTGACCTACATAAGTGTGCAATGTTGAATTTATCAACTATAAATTCTGTTCTGAATTTAGTAATGTTAAAGGCCATCCTAATCCCCCCTTTCTCACATCTCCAACACAGGGATGAATGCTGCTGTCCGCGCCATTGTGCGTGTGGGGATGTTCTTAGGATGCAAAGTTTTCTACATCAAAGAGGTTTTTGTTTTTTGGCCAAATGTTGACAGTTCTGTGGTTTTTAATTTTTTTTCCTAATTCATTTTAAAATAAATTCCATTTGATAAAATAGCAGTTTAAGATGAAAGGAAGTTTTTAAAATTTGCTTGTCGAAAAACTACTCGAATTGCATAGTCTACAGTAGTACACGCCGCACAAATTTAATAGTATTATTACAATTTAACCCATTTGGAAGTCAATAAAATAGCCAGAAAAATATAATGTTCAATATATGGTAATAAGGGGGCAGTGGCGTAGCGAGGGTGTTTGGCGCCCGGGGACAAGATTCGCGCCCGGGGACAAGATCCATTTTTAACGCCCCTTTTTTCTTTTTTTCAACTCTCAAACCCATTATTTTCATCAACAAAATAATACCAAAGCACATTTTGGCGCCCCTAACTAGCTGGCGCCCGGGGACATCTGTCCTCCCCTGCCCCCACCACGCTACGCCTCTGTAAGGGGGAAAGACTGCATTGTTCAATATATGGTAATAAGGGGGTGAGACTGAAATTTTCAATATATGGTAATGAGGGAGAGTGACTGAAATGTTCAATATATAGTTATAAGGGGGAGAGACTGAAATGTTCTATATACTCACAAAACTAATTTAAGTTTTGCTTTCTGAAAGAGAAAATTAATTTTCTGATTGATTATCTTATTTGCCATTTAATTTAAATTTTAGCGCCTTTTGCAAACGACAATATCGTCAGATTCTTTAAAAATTCCTCCGCGGAAATGGAGATAACAAAAAATAAATAAATTCTTGGTTCTATTGCCGTTGTTCAATGACACCATTTGTATGATGATGATGATTGTATCTATTGTGATTCTTAAATATTTTGTTTACACAGGGCTACCAAGGAATGGTAGATGGGGGAGACAACATTCAAGAGGCCACCTGGCAAAGTAGCTCAAATATTATCAATGTTGTGAGTTTTCAATGTAAAAAGTGTTTTAAAAAAGTAGGCCTACTTCTTCTGCGGGTAGCTGGCTTACATTAATAAAATAAATAGGTTCTTCTAGAAACAGAGATAGCTTTTTTGTTTTGTTTTGGTTATAATAAAATTGTAAAACTTTTACGGGATGGACCAATAGAATATTACTAGATCTAACTTTATTTTCTAAGAAGTTTTCTCGTATGTGTGACCTTGACCTTTCGCTTTGACCTTAGAGTTTAGATGCTATGAACAATGAAGTAACACAGAGACTTCTGAAATCTAAGAGCCCCGCCCCTAGGATTTTATATTGCCATTCAGAGATTATTATTATAAATGTTTATTTTCTTTTGCAACCTATCATCTAGGCATTGAAAGATCTAACATCCTTCAGCCTGCACAATATCAAGAATGTACCCTTCCATTTATGCATCAATGTCAATAGGCTTGCCATCGTTTTACCAGCTTGATCTAAATCAACAAGGATATGTAATCCTATAAGTAATATGAGCCATGCAACGAGAACAGCTGCCATTATGATTTGATCAAGAGCATTTTGCATTGGATGATTAAAAAACCAATATTGTATATTTTTTCCTCCATTTTAGGCTTCCAATTTATATTGTACCATAATATTGTGTACTATATTAATTTACAGTATCAAATATATTGTTGACTACATTAATTTAAATTATTTGATAATATTTTGCGAAATATCCACATGATATTTTCATTATATGCTATTATCACATCACATATCTAGGGAGGAACTGTCATTGGGAGTGCTCGATGTATGGATTTTAAGGAGAGATGGGGAAGATTAAAAGCTGCCCAGAATCTTATTTATTGGGGAATAACCAACTTAATTGCTATAGGTACGACTCGTTTTCTTGTTGTTCTTTTTCATTTTTTGTGTTACAGTATGTCAGTATGCAGTATGCAGCCATTTATGGCTCATAATTTCAGAAACATATTTTATGAAATATTACTTACCAACAACTTGTAGATGCAAAAAAGATAAGATATATATGAAATAAAGAGAATCATATGTCTTGAATTACAGGACTTGTCTTCGAATTAAGATCAATAACTCTTAATGACCATTTATCTTCCCAACAACAATAATGTGATCAAAATAATTTTAAAATATTAAACCCAATGCTTATTTATTTTTGTTCAAGTTTTTATTTATTATCCATCAGTCATTATTATCTCCAATACTTACTAATTTATCAATGACTGTTAAATAATAAATATAAACTTGAAAAAATAAATCAATGAAAATTTACTTTTAAAAAATCAATGAATCCTTAGTTCAGGGAAGGCCTTGATGAATTATGGTACGTCATGTAACTATAATATATGCACAAGAATGCTATATTTATTGATATACAGTTAAAAAATATGTTATATTTATACTATATCAGTTGGACATTAAATAGACTTACTACTTGGTGTTTACATTGTATGGTTTCTATGATTAGCTATTTATTTTTTGAATAGGTGGAGATGGCAGCTTAACTGGCGCAAACTGCTTTCGTCTAGAGTGGCCAAGTTTAGTTCGAGAGTTAGTGGACAAAGGTAATTCCAGTGTACAGATCTCAATATTTTTTTTTATTTTAGTAATCAATGAAACTCTCCCCCCCCCCCCCCCCCTTTTTTTTTTTTTTTGTAAACAATTGAACTCTCCCCCCCCCCCCCACCTTTTTTTAGGTTGCTTCTTTTCAGTTAAGAAAGTCCGTCTTCTATATTAATAGTACTTAATTTGAATAAACTATGAAATGTCATTTTTTTAATGTTTGAATTGAAAAATAATCTCCAATTCAGTGGTTTGAAATGTAAAGCTCACCAGCCTGCCAACTACCATTAGGACCATCAGTGCTTAGAAAAATACTTTAAAGCAAAAAGCAAAATAATGATGTCAATTACAATTCATCCTACATGCTCAAAGCAACTGTACTTTCCACTTACAATGTTCAAGATTCATCATTTGCTGTGCAGCAAATTCACTGTCCATCAAACTTACCCTGTCAAAATACATTCATAACAATTAAAACTGAAAACAAATTCTTCACCCTGTGGACATAGAACAATAGTGTCATGATTTTTGTCACATAAAGTAATTATATTTACAAAAAGCAAACAAACTGCTGTCACACAAAGAGACAATGCTTTCCCCCATTGCAGACATGATATCCAAGGACAAGATAGCTCAGTGCTCCCACTTAAACATTGTGGGGCTTGTTGGGTCAATAGACAACGATTTTTGTGGGACTGACATGACCATCGGTGTGGACTCAGCCTTACATAGAATACAGGAAGCTGTTGACAGCATCATGACAACAGCTGTCAGGTTATTTCACACACGTAGTATCACAGAGATTAAATGCTCAGACTGTCATGTGACTATCACAGATATTTAATGTCATGCTATGATGCAACTGCCATAGGTGTTTTGTGTTATGACATGCAACTATCTCAGATATTTAAGGCTCAAAATTAAAACGCTATAAAATCTTAGATAACTTTTGTTAAATAAAATTCCTATTTTAATTTAAAGTTTGTTTTAAATCAGTAAAAAAGCATAATGTCTGGGTGATGGCTGCTGTGTAGTTGATAACTGGAGGATTTTTCAAGGGCTCAAGGTGTTATTAAATAGGGAATAAGAAAAAAGCTTATAATATTTCTTTGTAACCATGCATCCCTGACAATGGTGGTAGAGACTTTGAGATGCTAATGTTTTAGTTCTAGACCAAAATCCAACAACCATAGGTCAAGAGTGAAAAATAATTGCATCAAATTAGCATATGCATGTGTCCAAGTTATATAGCTACAAAAGAAAACAGTTTTAACCATTTAAGAGCTTGGACAGCCACCCCCCACTTATTTAAATTTTTTTAAAAGCCTTTTTTATCACTATGATTGTTTAATCAAAGGACAGTCATTTTCTTATTACATTATGCTTCAAATTTTGTTAAAAAAATTTTTTCCCCTCGTTACAGCCACAAACGAGGCTTTGTATTGGAAATCATGGGAAGGAACTGTGGGTAAGATTAAATAAAAATCACTGACACCGTCTCCACAGAATGTCTAAAGTACTTAATATTTTAATTGTAACATCTTCTTTATTTTTATCTGCATGAGCTAGTCTTTTTTGTTGTGTTTTTGGAACTTTGATGCATACATTTACATAGATTTTCTGGAAAATGATTATATTCAAAAGTTTTGCACAATCCAGCATCTAAGTCCAGCAAGCATTTCACTCTATCAGGTATCTCCCATTGGCAGCTGGGATATCCAGTGAGGCTACAGCAATTTTTATACCTGAAGATCCACCAGTGGGAGACTGGAGACAAGCGTTGTGTGATCAAATGACGGAGGTAATCTCCTTATGGGATGGTGGGCTTTGGAGTGTTTGGAAAACTGGGGATATTTTAATTTTTAAATTTAAAGTGGAGAGTGGGTGGGGTTGATGACATAAATTGAAATTAAGTAAAGATAAAAAAAAATATAAACCACCTGGTCACAAAGCTTGAGCCTTAGATTTATGACATATTGAAACCCATTTTTAAAAATTTACAATTGTTTAAAATATTAAGATAATATAACATTTAAAAAATATATATACTTCAGAATAAAACACCATTAGCACAACACTCTCTTGCTTCACAGTAAATTAATATTGATCTTAAAACACCCAAACATCTTGATGTATTTTTCTAGAATTTTTTCACTGTTTAGAAATTAATTAATCTGCACTATCTTATCTGTATGAGTAAGATAAAATAACATTTTTAAAAAAACTGCATTTTTGTAAGATAAGATTCTTTATTGATCCAAATAAATGAAAATGTTTTTGATTAGATTTTACCAGGGTTGTTAATATTGCAATATTGTATTGGTATTGGTAGTATTGCCAATACTTTTTTAAGTATTGGGACGATATTGCAATACTTCTTGAAATTTGATATTGGTATTGGTATTGCCAATAATTATTTTTGATATTGGTATTGATTTTTAACCAATACTAAAAGCAATATTCAATAAATTCTCTACAACATTGGTTGTGAATAAAGCTGAATATAATAAATTTTTCTTTGGTGTCGCCATCTTGCGAGTGACATTGCCAAACAATTTTTGAATGAGACTGATCAATGAAATGAATGATAATAGAAATCAAATCATATAATATGATATCTTTGGCAATGAGCATTGACCAGTGACTTACCAAGGCTCGATTAAGGCTTAGGCACTTTAGGCACCGTGCCTAGGGCCTACAAACAAAAATAAGGCCAAACAAAGAAAAAATATTTTTTTTACAAATCATATATGATATCTTTGGCAATGAGCATTGACCAGTGACTTACCAAGGCTCGATTAAGGCTTAGGCACTTTAGGCACCGTGCCTAGGGCCTACAAACAAAAATAAGGCCAAACAAAGAAAAAATATTTTTTTCATTCATCCATCCATCCATTCATTCATTCACAATATGTGTACAGTATACATATTAAAAATCTTGTTGCTTAAGGACATTAAGGTATGCCGACTTATTTAATATGTTGTCAAAGACTTTTGAATGATTTGAGGAAAACTGATGAAGCAAGTGTTAACTATTGAACAAAATTTGGTTAAAAATACATTGTCTAAATTAGCCAAAAATGTTGTTATCGTTTATCGATGTAAGTGATATAGAGCGATGAATTACGTATTTGCGTTTTATTCGTCGAATGACCCAAATATTGGTATTGGTAAGGCAATAATAAATAAATATTGGTATTGGTATTGCAATACTGGTTTTAAAATTGTATTGGTATTGGTATTGCCAATAGATTTTACAGGCAGTATTGGTATTGGTATTGCCAATAATTTTTTTTAGTATTGTTAACAACCCTGGATTTTACATATTCATTTTCAGCACATAAATAAGTACATATTTTTAACCAAGATAGCATATTATAATTATAACTTTTAAAACACAAGACATCTAAAGTATTTCTCTTGCATAGAAATCAGCCATAAAAGAACTCAATTAGTGATTACTCCTTGACATGAGAGCTGAGATGTTTGCATTTTGTAAAGATAGTGCCTGTTTGTTCCCCATTACAGAACCTCTGTTTTTTTTGTCTGTAAGACTGTCCATGATCTAGTATATCATGATTTTATGATCCTTACAGAAAAGCAAAAGTGGTGAAGTCAGGAGAACACACATCATCTTAGTTGCTGAAGGTGCTATAGATAGGGAGGGGAATGCCATCAAGTGCTATGATGTCCAAAAGGTGAGTGATATCTTAAACCTGCAACAACTAAGAATATAAAGAAAATGCAGGCACCCATGTAACCTGCTTCACTTCTCCTGAACCTGCTGCTTGGCTACTCCCTCTACAGCAAGGTGTGTTTTGCAGCAGCAAAGCAACACATGAAAGAAAATATCTTAACTATGAAAATTAAAAAAATAAAATAAAACAACTGAAGAAGTAAAAAATAATTTGATCTTATTCACATTCATTTTATCAACAATATTGAATTACATTTTTTAAAGAAAGAAATTGCAATAATAAAATAGATATTTTCTCCCCATTTGTTGAAAGTTTATTTCAATCAGTAAACCAAACCCTCATATGTTTTGTCAGCAAGAGTCAAACAGAGCTTTTTTATATACAAATAATCCAATAATTTTATTGGAAATATATTTATTGATATTAAAGGGTATAGATATAATTTTTTAAATATATTTTTTTATCTCAAAGGTGTTGACTGACCAAATGAAAATGGATGTCAGAGTTACTGTTCTTGGTCATGTCCAGAGGGGAGGAAATGCTTCAGCCTTTGATAGATTATTGGTACCTCTTATTGTTGTTATTTCCCTTTTATGTCATTGTGTTCACCTTACAGTAAGTTGTTACATTCCTTCAGTTTAATAAATAATAGGACACAAATATCATCACATCCCAATGGCTTACTACAGTTTTTTTTTAACCTCACCTTATCACAATCTTTCACATGACACTAGATCAGAATTGACCAGTGTGCTTCCCTGGCTGTTAGGAAATAAAAAATGGCTCTTGAAACAAAATATTATCTTACACCATATTATGAATGATTTTCACACTTGAGAAATACTTTGAAAGTGTCCCATGTTCAAATTGTCAGAGTTTAATTTTTTTAAAATCTTTATCAGATAGTTTATCCATAATATGCTGAAAAAACGACTATGTTCATAATATGCTGCAAAAAGGACTATGTACAAAGTGATCAAAACACATCTACATTAATTTGGATTGATAAAAGACTTTTATCCCCACATTAAAAAGAAGTCTTGCTTGATTTTACTTTATTATGAGCCTTGGTTCATTTCATCTTTTGTCCATCAAGGCCACACGTATGGGTGCTGAGGCAGTGTTAGCACTGATGGATGCCACACCCACCACTCCAGCATGTGTGATTTGTTTGGATGGTAGTGATATTGTACGGAGACACTTGCTTAATGCTGTACAGAAAGTAGGTTGCGTATATTTTAACACATATTTTAATATTTTAAATATTAAAGGGGGGGGGGGTAGTAAATGTTTCTTAATTTTTTTAAGTAATAAAAATGAGTGAAGATTTTGTTCTATCATGATAGTAGTTGAATTAAAAATAACTTATTAATCTCTAACCAAAATGTTTAACAGACTAAAAAGGTTGTTGAGCTGATGGGGGAGAGAAGATTTGAAGATGTAGTTCAGCTGAGAGGCAGGTAAGACAGAGAATAGATTTGTCTAAAGTAACCAAAATTAATTACTCCTGTTTGTTGGAATAAACTCTCTCCTTTACAACTTGTGTGTGAGACTAATGTTGACATGATCCTCTGTCATTGGGGCCTTTTATGTCAATGCTGTCACTATGGAGCTCAGTTAATTTTCTATAAATATGTAACTTGAGGCATATTCTCTAGATAAATAATTGAACAAGATATTTTAGGCTTGAAAAAATAAAGACAGACCAATTAAAATATCTATTTATTATTTTTTTTCCAAGCCTTAAAATATCAGGCTCCACTATTTATTTACTTCACACAGCTTGAACGCAGTCCCCCCACCTTATATTATCCATATTATGTATGTTGGATCTTGTGGTACTTTATTTCTATAGAAAACACTGTATAACAAATAAAAGTCTGTTCTCACATCTTCAGGCAAACTGCCAAGTACCTGAGTATCTATTCGAGTATGGTCAAGGTCATTCCACATCCTCTTCTTTTAACTCCTGGGAAAAAGGTTGATAATAAGAATATATATATACATATATTTAAAGCTATTATTTGTTTGATTCATTATCCTGTTCATATTTTATTTTGATAGTGTTAACATCAAAAGGGTAAGACAACAGATATTATTCCGACTTCAGTGTTTGTTGATTTTTAGCAGGGGTTACCTGCCACTCAAGAATAACTGTCTTACCTGGCTAAACGTTTTCATCACCCAGTGGCTATTAATCCATAGCAGAGCTACATCTACAGTTGAATTTGAATCCACTCTCATTCAAGGGGCAGACAAGGTTTTAATTGCACCACATGGTAGACAACTTTGATTTTTAAAAAGAATTACAAATAATTTTTTTTTTCCTGTCACCATTTTTGCAACAGATATAAAGATACAAAATAAAGAATAGACACAAGATTTTACCTTTTAAAATGTTATATTGGTTGGATGATTAATGAAAAAACAAAACATGGTTGTCTTTAAGTGGAGAAGTATGATTTGATTTAAGAAAATTCCAGCAAAGAAGAACACTACTTTCAGCCATGTTATGAAAAGGGAAAGTTTGTTCCCTGTGTTAAGTCAGTTACTAGGATCATGCCTTTAGAAAATTTCTTTGAATAAACCGAGAATCACATTTTCTGAATTTTTCTACTAAATAATTGAACACTTAATTCAAAAATGTGTTTCAGAAAATTTATCGCATTGCACTGATCCATGTGGGGCACCCTGCATGTGGAATGAATGCTGTGGCTCGAGGCTTTGTCAGTATATGTATTAGCAGGGGTTATGAACCGTTGTTCATCTACAACAGTTGGGAAGGACTCATAACCCATCAGGTATTTCAGTTCAATTGAAGTAAAAAAATGTAATCATTATCTGAACCATGAACATTGTTGATAAAAGCAGATTGTCATGTAACCTGTAAATATTGTAAAGCATAATCACCCTGCATGCTGCACTCCTGAGATGGTTGTCTGTACCTAAATGCACAGGAAGGCCTCATCTTTTTAAAAAAATTAGTTTTAATGGGTGAAATGGAACAGACCTTTGACAAACTACTTTAAGCAGTGAAATAAAACAGAGATAATTATAGAATTAATATGAAATTTCAGTAAGTCTTGTGTGTGACCACGAGATGTTTGGAAGTCTTGTGTGTGACCACGGGATGTTTGGATGTAATTTGGTCTGAAATTTGTAACATTTGAAACAATTTAGGTGAAAAAAATGTCATGGAATGATGTTCACCACTGGACTAGTGCTGGGGGCTCTCTACTGGGGACAAGCACGTAAGTCTGATCAAATATGGGGAATATGGGTTACTTGGGATAAGTCTTATGTAATGTTAGTCTAGCCTCATTATGGCAAATTTTTTTTAAATTTTAGAGAAGAATGAATAATGTACAGGTGTAGAGCTTTCTACTGCGTGTTTGAGCCTCCCAAAGATATCTGGGGAAGAGTTACCATGTTCATACTTTGTGGCATAATCATTATATAATCATTTCTGTATCAACAATATGGTGTAGCACTGGTTCTGATGGTGCAATAATTTGGGCAGTGAGCCATGGTGCAATAATTTGGGCACTGAGTCATGGTGAAATAATTTGGACAGTGAGCCATGGTGCAATAATTTGGGCACTGAGTCATGGTGAAATAATTTGGACAGTGAGCCATGGTGCAATAATTTGGGCACTGAGCCATGCTGCAGTAATTTTGGCACTGATCTATGCTGCAATAATTGGGCACTAAGCCACAATGCAATAATTTGGGCACTGAGCCATGCTGCAGTAATTTGGGCACTGAGCCATGGGGAATTAATTATCTGCTGGTCCATAACACTAAAAAGTTTAAGAACCACTGCTGTATATCTTATATCAGCGGGTCAACAACCTAAAACATTTTTATCTTTCTGTTTTTACTCTTAAACAGCAAAACAGCTGGGGAAATCGGCATATCCATTTTGTCCAGCAGCTTACGCCAAAAAGACATATCTGGACTAATCATTGTAGGTGGATTTGAGGTACATTGACTTGAGCTGAAATAATCTTATTTTTACTTATTGAACAAACTCATGAGATCCAAAGGGGGGGGGGGATATTCTAAGAACTTTAATTGCGGCTGCAAACCATTCCATCTCACGTCAAGTAAAGACTTATGCAGGAGTAGCCATTTTGGGGGGGAGGAATTATGATCAAAGGTGTTATAGGTCTAAAGCAAAAACCTGGGACTGGTCTGATTAAAGACTAATAATTTTTCAACTCTAATTTAACTACAATAATTTGTCGCTGCTGCTTTGTGGTGATTTAGAGTAAAATATATTTTTGTGTTGTGTTAGTTTTTGGAGTAAAATAGATTGTTGTTGTGTTAGATTATAAAGTATATACAAGCTTAACTTTGTCAATGCATGTATTGAACAGGATGAAATCATATTTTCTTCCATTACAATTGTAAGAAATTCATGAAATCTTCAATATTCTTTGTGTCATATTTAACATGCAGGCATTTCAAAGTGCATTTGAACTACTAAAAGGGAGAGAAAACTACCCTGAGTTAAATATTCCCATGATTGTGGTCCCTGCTACTATATCCAACAATGTACCTGGCTGTTATATGAGCATTGGATGTGATACAGCAATCAATCAGATATGCAAGGTGACTCATTAAATATAAGATGTGATAGAAGTCAGTCAGATATATAAAGTAGCGTTATCACTATAAGATGAGATATTCATTGGTGATTTAAAAACAAATAAGCTAAATGTAGCAGAGTGGTGAGAGTGGTTGATTGGTTGGCCACACAATTTTACTCTGCTTGCAGCACCAAAAACGGTAGCCGTGTGATGAGTGACAGTTGACTGTTTTAAATATATTTAGAATATAAGCTCAAGAAATTCAGGTCCTGAGAACCAAAGCCGTTTATTTGTGTTTAGAGTGTTGTCTATAAAAGGAGTGGTAGAAATAAAAAGCCGAAGAAAAATCCAAAGAAAAGGGACATCAATGTGGTGCAAGCAAATGATGGTGGCGCGCTCTAGGGGTGTGACTGAAACTATGAATGATCTCCCATTTGCGCTTTTCCTATAAACAAAGTCACTCAGACACACGAGGAAGCAACTACGTCACACCTGGGCCAAGCCTGTCTGGAAACTGACTTCTGTTAGATTCATTGTGGGTGTCTTTTTCACGTTTAGTCTCGTCTATCTGAGATAAAGTTGTATATTTAAATGAGTTAAATGGTCTTTGGGATATATATATCCAGAAGGGGTTGGGATCCCCATGGCTGAATGTCAAAACTTACTTAATATTACAATAACCTCTAAAGATGCAGACTTGCAAATATTCTAAGATATATTGCATGGCATTCCCTTTCCGGCCAGATATAGCTTATCGCATAATTCCCTAGGGTTTCTGAGAAAAAAATTATTGAACTTATACAAATAGCACAAATTGTGATTCCCTATCATGACGGTGGGAAGAGAGGCAGTCACACAGTGTTGTGGTAACCTGACCCCTGGCGCAAACATTGTCACATAAATAGGAACATAGAGTTGAAGTAAAAAAAATTAATAGATGTAATTTCTTTTTCCATGATCAGGCATTTATTTAATAACTCTACAACTGAATGTCAGTCCAAAGCAGTCTGTGAGTCAAATATTCAAGGGGTAATAAGTAATAATGTATTCTCTCCCCTGTATGCTGTAGGCGTGTGATGAACTCAAGCAGTCAGCATTTAGCATCCAGAAGTGCGTGTTTGTTGTTGAGGTAGGGGGGGACAATTGCGGTTGCCTAGCAACACTCTCTGGGATTGCTTCAGGGTCTGATTGTGCCTTCATCAAAGAAGAACCTTTTACAGTTCGAGACATTCAGGTACATACTTAACTAGTCAACGATTGTAGAAATAAAGAATCCACTTGATGAGCTTGAGGTTTAACTGGATCAGGGTAAGCTTTCAGATGTTACCATTATGATACCAAATGCAGCTTTCATTGGACACACTTTCAACTATTTAATTTTTTTTTTCATCTCTTTTTGGACATTGTTCAAAACTATAAAGTAACTACATTCTAAACAGAATTAATTTTCTCCACAGTCTATCTGTAAGAAACTAATGGATAAGCAGGAGCACTCGGGAGTTCGGCAAGGACTTATCATAAGGTAGGAGTTTGGCATGGACTTATCATAAGGTAGGAGTTTGGCATGTACTTATCATAAAGTAGGAGTTCGGCAAGGACTTATCATATGGTAAAAAACTCTAAACAGTTGGCAGGCCTACTTTTTTTTTCAAAGTGTTTGAACACTCACGCCAGTGGCCCTTGCGAAATGATTTTGGTTGTGGGCCATATGCAACCCCCCCAGCACCCACTTGGTGGCCCACTAAGTAACGAAATATTCATTATTATATTTATTATTATTTTCTTAATAGCTTTCACTCCTGTCATATTATCTTTCGGCACGCACTAGTTTTTCATAAAGTATTACGGTCCACCTTACATTTTGAGTTGTGCAGGCCTGCTTTACAGTGCTGACACAAATTAATATTGAGCTTAAAAATGGAATGATTGTTTTTTGTAATATTATAAATCCTTTACATTAACTTCGCTTTTGTTTATGGGTTTGTGGCAAAATCTTCGGAAGGCTCTCAAATGTTAAGCAACCATCCCCATCCTCAAACCCCAAAAAACAGTATTTCCTGTTTTTCAACAGGGGTGGAATGTTAATGCTTTGTTCAATGGGTGCGTGCGTTGGTGTGGAGATTAATTGTGCAGCTGTTGCTATGTGCTCTGTATTTCTGATGTATTTGGGTATGCAGTAAAATAAAATGTATTTAACGAAGGGGAAAAATGAAGGAAATATGAAAGGTGTTCTTGCCAGAAGTTTACCCATTGACATAACCACTTGTTAATAAATGATAAATCACGCACAATCACATAAATGCAAACAAAAATGCATAGAAAGGATTTATAGGAAAAACTTTATTTTTAGGAGTTGTTTTTATTAACTTATATATATTTTTTTTTAATGTTCTGCGTCTGATTTTTAAATGTGGTAAATTTTAGATTGCTTTTATTTCTCTTTATAATGTGGTTGACTTTGTACCGCACTTCGAGCTTTTGGGGATGAAGCGTGTTTTTCAAATAAACTGTATTAATTATTATTATTTTATTATATGTTATGTTATATTTGAGCCATGATTTATTTTCTCAGAAATGAAAACGCAAACCCAAACTTAACAACAGACTTTATTTATCGCTTGCTCAGCAAGGAAGGAAAAGATTCTTTTCAAACCAGGTAACACAATTTCTTACGTGAAGTGTTTACAGCAGTGAGCAAATAAATTCTTGATGTTAAATGTATTTTTAAAAAATTGGGAATGTGAGACTTTGTGATTTAACTTGGCAGGGGCTGCGACCAAGACTTAGATCTTGTATACAAGCCTGGTCAATATGGCATACTAAATACATGTATTTGTAGGTGTATTTAGCTCATCTTTCTCTACATTAGTATTAGGACCCAAAAATAAATTTCCAAATCCTCCAGTATATTTTAAACTAATTAGGGGATGGAAAGGGGAATTTTAGAAGGAGCAACTCTTGCAGATTTAAACATAGTTGTTTAGTTGATGATGATGATGATTGATTATTTATATAGTGCTTGTCTCCATGCTATTTTAGCATGCTGAGTGTGCGCTGATGTCATAAACCTTATTTAAAGAAAAATGTCTCTTAAATGATTTATCATTTTTAAAATTCCTCATAGACTGAGGCAAACTGTTCCATAATTTAGTAGCCATTGCTTCAAAAGAGCGCACTCCAAAGGACATCTTTCTGTGTCCATCCACACTGGGAACTCCAAGTTGGGACTGTGATGAAGTTAACTCCCCTTGCAAAGCTTACAAGTTATTTTGAAACTTTTTTTATAAACAATTTATCTTCATACTGCAAAATGATTGCATATAGTAAACAACTAGATGGCATGCCATAAGTGTTACTGTATTTGTTGCAGGCAAGCATTGCGATGGCATGCTATAAGTGTTACTGTATTTGTTACAGGCAAGCAGTGCTGGGACACACACAAGAGGGCTACAAGGCTTCCCCATATGACAGAATTGCAGGAATTAAAGCTGGATGTCTAGCCACAGAGTGGATGATACACACATTGGAGATGTGTGGTGCTAAAGATGGAGGTATATAATGTGCTAGTGGCATCTTTGATCATAGTCCTGTCAAATGGAGGTATGCAATGTGCTAATGGCATCTGTTATCTTAGTCCTGTCTGAGTGCTTTGGGTGATCAAGTAATATTTTTCCCAGTAAAGTAATGAGATATCAAAAATGTTCACTTTCTCAGGCTGATTTCTTATTTTTAAATGTGCAGCCCAGATCGTCACTGACTCATCTTCCACTGTGGTTGTGTCCCCCATAGCTACAGGCTTGAATGAACCAGTCCCCGTCTCGGAGCTTGTTCATCAGACAGATTTTGAGTAAGTTTTTCTAGACCCACCCACCTGGAGTTTTTTAAATTATTTTTTACAGAAACATTTTGTGAACACTTCATGTCTCTGAACATGGATAGCAGTAATTGGCTGAAACTAAAATGAAATGTCTTATCCTATTGCGTGATGTGCTGTTTTACTGAGTAAACAAAGGACTAAAAATTGGGTGATTGAAAAAAAAACACTAAATAACTAACAACAAAAAATAATAATATGGTGGTTTTGCTTGACTTTGATAGAAAGATAGAAATTGGAGAAGGAAGAGAAACAGTGAGAAGCATGAGGGGGAAAAACAATAATTATGAAATGCAAGAGAGAAAAATAATAATCTGATGTTATTCTCACAGGAACAGACTGCCAAAAGTGCAGTGGTGGATGAAGTTAAGAACTCTCCTGGATATACTCTCATGGCCAATGGAGCAGCAAAACAGCAAACCCGCCATTAATTCATTCAAGTGATACAGCAAGAATTCATTTTCCTGATTAAATAGCATACCCATGTAGATTTCATAATGTGAAGTCATTGAATAATTTGGCCATATTGAATAAGTTGATATTTTTTAAACACGTCTATTGAATATTTTAATTTAAATCAAGACAGCAGAAAATATTATTTAAAATATTAATTATTTTTTCTTCAAAAAAGGATATATTACATTTTAAGTGAATGTAAATTTGTTACCCTTTGCCCATCAATATTGATTGTGTTGAAAGAACAATGGAACTGCTACATGAACCATTCCATAAACTATACAGCATCGCTGGTATAAACTCGTTTATCAATAAAAAAAATAATTCATGGACTGCTGTTCAAAAGGATGTCCTAAACTTAATGTCATTAAAATGACAGGAACACAATTCTTATGTTTCCTCTCATTTTCTGACATGGAAATGTCATGTTCAAATTTCAACCCAGCTGAACCTCCATCTCTTGATTTGTTGTTATTTGCCTTCTCATTTGGCTCAGCATTCTAAAATTCCTATTTCCTTAATTTTTCTTAACACAACTATTTCAACATGTAAAAACCATAATATGCCAAACTAAGTCCTGTTTAATTTAGTAACATGACAAAGAGACATTGGGCAGCAATGAATATTGTCATATTATGTGAGACACAAGAAATAAGTAAAGAAATCATCATAATGGTAAGAAAGAAACAACTTTCCAACAAATAACACACAAACACAAAAGAAATTCAGACAAATCAAGAAAAAAATGTTTGAGGAACAGACAAGACACCTACAAATTACAAAACAAGGGTAGATACAAAAAAAAAAATCCACACAAATTAAGATAACCAACAAGACTCCCAGTTTGAGATTCAGCACATATCACAATTTATTGGAACATCATTTACAGAAAATATGCACAACTGGAAGTCACCAGAACAGTGGTTCTCAACCTTTCTAATGCCACGACCCTTTCATACAGTTCCTCATGTTGTGGAGACCCCTAACAATCAATTATTTTTGTTGATACTTCATAACTGTAGAGTAAATGTGTTTTAAGATGGTCTTACGCAACCCACAGGTTGAGAACCGCTGCACTAGAACAATGCAACAGTTACTGGCATTCAAATACTCATTTTAAAAATAAGTAAAGAAATTTGTGTTATTTAAATTCTAACTATGATCACTAAAAAGAGTTGGTTTGACAAGAAACTACTTGCTTGAAAAATTGTAAGCAGTCGGAATTTGAAATAAATTCATTCCCCAATGGTTGAAATGTTATGTTTATTAATGTATCGGCTGTTGCATTGCCTTTCGACTATCCAGAACAATTGGTCAAAATCAATTCAAATAAAATGGTGGATAAATATATTTACAATGACTAGTTATGTTATTCTTGCTTCATTGTCATGAATTTGTTATGCTTAAATAATCTGATACGTTTGAACTTAAATCAAATGTTGGCAGCATGTGTGAAACACTAGGCTGGTCACCATTGGAGAAACGACGACGACAATCCAGGCTCTCCATGATGTACAAGATAAATAATGGGCTGGTCCACTGTTCCAGTATTAAACAGAAACTCGTACCTCTCCCCCATAGACAGCGACGAGGCCATGACAGGCAATTCAGGCTCATACCAGCAAGAAGCCAGTATAGGAGCTGCTCATTCCTGCCAAAGACAATCAGGGACTGGAACAATCTTTCAAAAGGAACGGTTGAGGCGACAACACTAGACACATTTGTGTCTATTGCCTCAAGCCTTCAAACCCCCAGTGCATGATTCCCTCACAAAGTGGCACTGGAAATCTGTGAAATTTCCTCATCAACACCGGAACAGAAACATTGCAAATCCCATCTACATGCATAGGAGCCAAAATGATCAATAAATTGATCGTGGGCCCTTAAGATATAGAAGAAGAAGAAGAAATGAGTCTATTTGCTTAGTGACTGTATTAAAAAATTAAGTTCTTATCTATGATCAAATTAATGGTGTTTCCTCCTTATGTTAGTGCCATACATTTACTCCTATGTATGCATGCATAATTTATGTTTGCTCTCAACTGAAACAGCGAAAATGATATGAGAACAGGACGAGGAGGAGTGGGCAACACAATATTGCTCAGCTCAGTCAGCCGCTAACCAACTGACAGTAAATTTTGATGTCAAAACAACTCCCCATATTTTTCCTTTACACAAATCTAATCCTATCAACCATCCCCACTGCAGATGGATGACAGCTTAATAACATTTCTAATGCAAATCTTTAAAATACTCCTACTCTTAATACAAACTAACATTAATTGATAGGTAGCAATGACAAGAGCAAGAATTTTACATAGAAATAATTATTCCTGTTATATAAAACATTGACAATAAATATATTATGGCAAATGACTAAAATGCATTTTTTTTATCGAACAACCAGAGTACATCTATGGTTGATATTCAAATTTGAAAATACATTTTCTGCTGTAACAGACATTACTCATATAAAAATTGACCCCGGTCTCAGAAGATGAAAGTTTTCATCAAGTAGAATTTCCCCAGAAGCTAAGCTAAAGTATTCCATTTCTACACTGAGACAGGTGTCAGATAAAAATAAAATATTTTAAAATAAATATTTACTTCTAGAATATGAATTCTCAAATACCTGTAATTTATTAATGTTGATAAATCCTATATGATCTTGGTATTATAGACATTAATAAAGTTGTTTAGTTGATTTGGTAACTAATACAACTGATCTAACACAAAAGGAGATATATAAAACATATCTGCTTCTTTAACTTATAATGAAAATAATTCCTTTGTTTGTAAGCAGGGAATGGACTTAGTTTATTTGGAATCTCAGCAAAAGTCTATTACTTTTTCAGTGACTGCACAGACAAAATATATTTCAGAGTAAACTAGTTATCAGTAGAAGATCTAACTGTAACAAACTAGTTATTAGTAGAGGAACTAACTGTAAAAAACTAGTTATCAGTAAAAAAAACTAACTGTAACAGGCCAATTCCTTTTAAAATTAATTATCTTCATTGCATTTTAAAATTTTTTAAATCATACAATTTTATCACTTTGATTTTTTTTTTTAAATTATCGTAATACATGATAGCCAAAGCAAGGAAAGAAATCAGGGAAGAGAACTTCTGGAGTCTTTGTGTTTTTTGAGTCCATGGTTATAAATCATTTAACTTTAACTTTGCTACATGATTCTATGGCCGGATGAATTTGGTATTGTCGACACTAACTTTCAGAATAAGAGAATCGTCTTTGATGTAATCTCTAGTTTTAAGGACTTCATGGGAAACAAATTTAGGATAACCGAATCCCAGAGATTCGGACGTCTGCACAGGTTTTTGGAAGTGCTTCCAGGCTGGGTCAGGGAGAAAACTTTCTGACAAGTTGGTTCGCAGGCTGGCATCAGCATTTTGGTCATACACTGTGAATGACACCGGCAGAGAGAACGGCCAGTCAAGAATGTTGTCGTAGTCCCCCTGGAGCAGCTTAATGTAGACGGAAATGAACTTGCCCTCCCCTGCCCCATTGCCGTTGAGGAACACCGAGAGGCACGCCTTGTAGCCGAACCTGGATGTGTAGAACGGTGGGCTGACCAGTTCTTTGTTGCTCTTGTAAATAGCCTCATTGAACTTGGCTTTGTAATTGCTGTTTCAAAAGAATATAGAAATACAAGTTGTTGTAGGTGATTATACATGAAATTATAATGAAAAGATTCAAATACTGAACTGTCCCGTGTGCACTCCTGATTAAAAAGTGCAACCTTAAAGTTTGGTGTTTACATATACTGGTATTCTGATGATTATTTTTTGGCAATATAGCAGTTGTAGGCCACCCTTTCCAAGTTTAAATACTTATAATATGGTGGAAAAAACTGCTTCCTTTTCTCAGAACAATACAGTAGGCTTAATTAAAATGTATATAAAGGAAAGATATATAAGCTGATATTCCTTGTTTTGATTATTCTTCCTTTCTAAATATTCCTTAAAAATATACTTCATAAGTAATTATGGATTACCATCTCTGCCCATGTCCTTTTCATTTAATATGCATGCACACTTTAAAGTTCTTAAGTATTAATTTTTTTTAAAAACGTATCAATGCTTAAAAAGTGTAATACCCAAGCCTCATTGTTGTAAGAAGCAGACAATGTCTTACCTGATCTAATACCTAAGCCTTATTGTTGTAAGAGGCAGACAATGTCTTACCTGATCTTCCATATAAAAACTCCATCAGTCGTCTGGGTTATTGTTTGTAATGCTGAGCACAATTGAGTTATCTGTGCTTGTTGCTGCTTGACAAGGTCACAGGTCAGCTCTAAGTGTGTCTTCATGCTCTCTTCTATGTGCAGCTCCAGACTGTAACGTGGGCACTGGAAACAAAAACAATTTAGAAAATATGATTCCATTTATTTTGTTTTAATTACCTCTACATACATTAGACAAGTGATAATTGGACCCATGAACAGTTCATAGGCATAGCTAAAGCCACTGAACCCGCCAAGGGAATGAGGAGGTAACCAGCGTCCCATCAAGGGACTCAGAAAGGGAGACATTTGGAAATGATCTCTAAAAATTTGGTAAATATTTTGTATTTGTGATTGACTAATGACATGTAAATCTGACTAATGTCTACCGGACTAATCTGACTAAAGTTTACCTGACTAATGTTTACCTTGTGTCTACACCCAGCATCTTTAAATGGACATGAAATGGTGGCAGATGGACAGGCCTCGTGAACATGGATGTCAATATCTTCTCTCGGAATCTTGGCTGGATCACATCTGTTGGGACATGTCACTGGGAATCTGGGACACTGGTATTGGTGGGTCTGAAAGGAGAGATTTTGTGTTGCAATTATATTTGTGACATGTAAATCCCAACGTTGTGGAACAACAGTTTCAAATCAGCAGGCTATAAGTTATTTTTTTCATTTGATACATGCAAATTCCATTGCTATAATTACACAATGGCTAATTTTTTTAATTAGCAAGTTGCCAAATGTATTAATTTTTTTTTTTTTTAAAAATTAATAACACTAAATGTATCTCACAGTCATATAGGTATCGACTGTATGTTAACTTAGAAATATGAATGTAAATGGGTAGCTTGAGTTTACCTGAAGTGTCTCCTGTAAAAACTCCTTAGAGCAATATTGGCAGGTGACTGTCCTCTTGTGGCACTCATTCTTCATGTGATTGGCCAGGTAACGTCTTTCAAGCTTGGCACCACATTTGTTTTCACACCACATAATCTCTTTGTGACAGCTGCCAGCATGGGTCTGGGGACAAACAAAAAAAAAAACCAAAATGCATGAGTTTCTTTCTTAGTTTGACCATCATTATTTTTACTTGGCAACCTGAACTACAAGTTCAACATTCCCAATAGTAAAAAGTAGCCTGGCTAGTTTTCAAATTTGATTTATCCTTACTAAAATAATTTTGCTGAATGGATCTGTGCCACACATCTATTATACTTTTTTTTTTTACTGCTAATGAAGACAAAGATAACCAACCATATGATTAAAGAGTGCAAACGGGAAATAATTTGATTATTTCTTGATTTCAAAAAAATGGAATGTCCATGCAATGGATTCTTATAATCTTTATTCTACAAGATACAGTCCCTTTTCAAAGTGCAAGTGAGGCATATGATCATAAAGGTTTATGCTTTAAATAAATTTAAATATTAAAGAGACATTTAAGTAATTTTCGTGCTTATTAAAAACTTATGATGGTTATTACAATTAAATACGCTTTTCTAGACAAGCCAACCATAATTTTGTTCATAGAATGCTTTGAATCTTTTTCTATCATATATGGCCGAGCATCTAATTAAAATATAACTGCTACCTGGTCCATAAACTGTCCGCTGAATTCCTGCTGACAGAAATCACAAATGACAACTCTTTTGGGACACAGATACTCTAAGTGGTCATCTAGATTGGCTTTGGTCAAGTGGGCGGTACACTTGTTTGGGCAGGTGATCACATCAAATCTGCAGGCCTGGAGGTGATTCTATTGACATAATTGATGATCACATTATTGGCCATGATTCCTCATGATGAATTATTAACTAAATGATTAAAAATCTTTGTAACTTTTAAAAACATTTTCTCCCCCTCACTCCTTTTGTTTAGAAAAAAAGACAATGTGCTTAAAAGAATTATGGTACTCGAGTTGTTATATATATATATATATATATATATATTTAATACACACATACACAACACACATATTATATATTATGAGCATGTTCATCACAGTTGATTCCTTACTGGTAAATTCTGTAGTTTGTCAATCCACCTGCACCCTTCCTTCTGGTAAGTGCATCGTATTATGCTGTTCATGATTTCTGTGTGAACTTCATTGTCAGGATACAGCTATATGAACACAAAGGGAATGT